GGAATACCCCTATTGTTCGAATATGCATTCCAGCTGCCAGAGGAATGCGACCCCTCAAAGATAGAGATCAACACGCCTGGGATGACTGGATAGAATGCAATGGTGGTGAATACTTTTTTCCAGACATTGCACCCTGCCAAGATATGATGATACTGATGTTTATGAAGGGCATTGGTTCAGATCTCTTGTTCAGTCTACACTGATGTAGACCATAGATTTTCCCTACACTCTTAAAAATCAAGGAAAGGACTCTTCGCAGTTTTGTGATAGAAGCACCACTTTTGGTTCCTTTCAGTTCAGTAGTTATTTAAAAACAACTTAATTGAAAGGTTTTATGGGGAAACAAAGGTAAATCTTCTATTGTATTGCTTTAAGGCACATTTATTTATAAAATAGTAAATTCACAGGAGAGGGCAAAAATGTTCTTTACTTTCAATGTAAGTTGATGGAAAGAGATTTTATTCTAAGCAATTTTGGAGCATTTCTATTGGTCTGATCATCATGAAATTTTCATACAATATAAGTGCTTCTCTAATTTGTTGATAAAGCTTTCATGGAAAAAGGAAAATGACACAAGGACTATTTTATTCAATTTTATTTAAAAAAAGGAAGAAAAAACATTGAGCACAACAATTAAACAGATTCTGTGTGGTAGAACTTGCACCAATGTCTAAGAGGTCAGGGGAACAAATCAGTGCAGAAGAGAAGGCAGTGAAAACTGGGAAACTGAATGCTTGTTACAGGTGGAGTAAATGACAGAACCATGAAAGTCTGAAGAACATTTGTGCAAACATCCTTTTGTCTTTAAACATTAAAGATAAGGGCAAGAATCCCACACAGACGTCACACAAACTCAGGAAATGAGAGGGAATGCCAAGCATACTAACACCACAATGCCACAGGCCAACATCAATAACACCATACTTAATATAAGTATAGCATCTATTCTCACGATCTCTCTAATATCTTAATAGGGCACATGGTCAATTGATGTCAAAGCTTTGGATAGATAATGTAGGTATCTAAGCTTTCCCAAATGGAAATCCTTTGCTCCTTGTGCATTGTGTAGATCAGCAAGGGTTGTGTAGAAACAGCATTTAACAATTCTTAAACACATATTGTGGTCCTATGGAGTTTTGGTATATCTGTGAGGAAATTGCTGGTTTATGGAATGTGCTCATGAGGTAACAGTCACACCACAGAAAATAAGAAATCACCAAAAAATGTATAAGGCAAGTCTTATCTACAGCTAAAAACTACAATTCATCTCTCATTTTGTCACCCTTGGGCCTAACCATTCTACCAATGTAAAGGATGGAGTTGGTCTGGTTGTCCTTCACCAGGAAGATAAATGGATGGTCAGCGTAGAAGAGCTTGGGGTTCCGGAGCTTCTCTGAGCCAAAGATGCTGGTATCAAAGGGGTTGCCCTCTGTGTCCCATTCCCAGGCAGATGCATGGAAGACACTGGAGAGGTAGAGATCTTTCTTGCCAGAGATGTTTGACAAATCTGCCTTGGACTTGTCCACTGCCTCAGTGAGACCGAGCTCTGCAAGATGTTTCTAGGAAAAGAAAAAGAGAGTATTTTACATCACATACAGCAATTACTCAATTAAACCACAATAAGATCAATGCAAGTTTAGGTTGTATCTACCTGGAGGTCATGGCTGACTTCTATGCTGACTTTAGGCAGAGAAATGGCCACCGCTCTCTCCTCCAGTTTGCTCAACCAGGTGTCCAGCTGCTTGCGGGTTAGAAGCTTCTCTAGCCTTTCCAGGGGCTCCACGTGGTAGGGCATGATGAAGATCACACTGGACTTTTTGTGGGCCAGGGGCATGTCGAGCACAAAAAGCCTGTTCTCTGTGTCCTCATAGAAGCCATAGAGACCTGTGGAGATTAGTTTAGTAGAGACATGAACAAATTGGGTTGGCATTATAATGGAAAAAGGGTAACAAACTTTGCTGTAAGGCAGTGTTTATAAGACTACATGAAATCTACATATGCTTGTCGTGACAAATCACATAAACCTACATTAACATTTATCAAAGGCTTATTCAAATAGTTGTACACAAGTTCTTCATAGGTTGTTGATCTCACCTGTACGATGCATCATTGGCACTGACACGGTGTAAGACCGGGTCACAAGGAATCCACGGTCATCAACCATCTTGTGATGGAACTTCTCATGCCAG